ATCATCTCATCCTTCGACGGACATCTGGGTCATTTCCACTTCTTACTTGCTGCTGTGCACAGTCAAGTTTCAAAGTTGCAAAACGCATTTCTGTTTTCCAATCCTTCAGGTAAAGCATCAGTGTGTGCCAGTCTTTAAGCCTGGGATTTACGCCCAGCTCTTTAGAATGTTGGGAAACTTACTTGCCTGGAAAGTGTGTAGTCATTTTCTAGTTTTTCACTACAAGTTGTTACTGTCCTTTGCTAAATTCTCCCTGAGTGTCCCCCTACCCTCCAGGACCTTCCTCTCTGTTTCCTGGCACTTGTCACAGTTCCCCAGTGGATCAGTTGATGACTTCTGTTTGTTTGTTTGTTTGTTTGGTTGGCTGGATTTTTTTGTTGTTTATTTTTTGCTTCAGTTCCCTGGGAGTTTGTGACAAAAGTAAGGAGTTTGCCACCACAGCTGTGGTACAAGTTCAAAACATGTTTTCTGAATCGATGAGGTAACATAATGTCAGTGCCCTTTGCCTCCGACAGAAACTATCCAAAGACAAAAAGCGGCTGTCTGTGAGGAGACCCCACTCTAGAAATCAGGGACTATTTAGGATTCTTGGCTGCCTGAAGCAGAGGTGCAGCACATCAGTTTTCAACTTTCTAGGGAACCGCAGTGTATGGGTGAAAGGAGGGAATAGTTGGTGGATTTTCAAGTGGGGGGTGGGGTGGGCAGGGAGCCGGGCAACCAACCAGAAGGAAGGCCTTGGAGCAGCCACCCACCTCCTTCCCTACTGATCTGTTTTCTCAAGACTAGGAGGATTTCAAAAGCACAAGGTGATGAGGGGCACAAGAGACAAGGTCCACGCCAGGAGGAGGAGCCCACCAGTCAGTCCTCAGTCACTCAGCGACCTTTTGTAAAGGCCGCCCCCAAATCAGCCATGGGACAAGGAGGGCTTTGAGACAAAAAAAAAAAAAAAAAAAAATCTCTATTTCTTTTCCCTGAGTCAGTCTATCAGCGTGCGCACTGGACCAGCCAGGTGGGAGGCTCACCGCTGGTGTTAGCTTTCCAGAGGGAAATCAGACCCAAAGAGGGCAGAGGTGCCCTTCTCGAAGTCTGGGAGTCCACACGGGCTTTTAGTCGCTATTTACAAAATCCCAGTGGCTAAAGACAGCACAAATCTCAGGTTCAGCCCCGCGCGCGGAGACTTTCTAACCTGATGAGAGTCTGGGGAAAATAACACTTGCCGATCTTTTTTTTTTTTTTTTTTTCTGCAAGAAAGTGTTCAACTGCTACAATAACGACGAGCGGCGCCTACGAGCCCTCTGCACTCTGGCATCAATTGTCTTAGTTTCTCTAGAGTTGAAGAATACCACTAAAAGGAAAGTGACCAAGGGCTCCGTGAGGGAGTTTGAAGTTTCTTCTTGCGGATTGGCCGGCGTGGGGCATGTCTTATTGGGAGCACAGTTATTTTCTACTGAAAGTGAGAAACGTGGAGACTTGAGAGTTCCAGGTCCCCCGAGTGGCTGGTGGAGGGTCAGGGTCACTTTCTTCCGTTTCCCGGGGCCCCTTCCCCAGTTCCTGGTCTCTTATCTGGTAAGGAATGAGGAGACCCACCCCCGCGCGCACCCACACAGCCTAGGTCAGGGGGGCGCAGGGCTCACGTACCTGTCACGCAGGTGACCACAACGCAGCCCCATTTCGGTGCACTCCGCCTCGCTCACCGACACCCCCTTGCAGGACTTGATCGGGTAGATCCAGAGCTGTGACACCGTCCCCACCTGCTGCAGCCGCCAGCGCCGGGGACGCACGCGACGCCAAGCCACGGTCCCCAGCGCCACCGCGGCCAGTCCCAGCGCGGCGATGCTGAGCCAGGTGGACCGCAGCTGCCGGGGGACCCAGGATGCGGAGAAGCCTTGGAGGGCCAGAGCCCAGGATCCGGAGGCACCCATGGCGAGGGCAGACCTGGCGGGCGCTGATTCACCTCAGGCGCCGGCTGCGCTAAACTAAGCGCAACTGTCGCCAGTGGACCTGTAGCTCCTGACCCTTTCCCGCCAATCCAAGTTGAGCATCTTCACTCAGCCTGGGCGGGGAAGGGGTGGCTCAGCTGTGGTGGTTTTCACCTCCTCCTGTCCTTTTTCCCTCCCTCCCTCATTCCCTCACCCTGACCCTCCCCTACAATCAATGTAGAACAGTGTCTTTATGTGTTTGTAGGGTTGTTTATTTGACCTAAAGCATACAACGTTTGCGGAAACTTGGTGTGATTTTGAAATCAGAAACCAGGCTGCTGGACAGCTGCCCGAGAGCAGTTTGGCAGTGGCCAAGGAGCTTCCAGCCAGCTGGGATCTGAAGGTGGAAAGATAGATCTTACCAAGTCCTGAGGCTCTACCGGGCTGAGCCACGTTTGTTTCTCCATGCCTGACGCCTCAGAGCTCTCTGCAGAGCCCCAGACCAGGAGTAGTCCTTAGACAAGGCTCTAGGTTCTTTCCCTGCAGGTCCCCCAAGGCAGACTCTGTCAGTTGTCACCCCAAATGCCAGCATATCTTAAACTACAAAGCCAAGGCCAACAAGGTACCTCGGGTTCCTGTTTGATGTCTCAAGTTGCTAAAATGTCGTTTTTATTCATGATTATTCTAACAGGGAGAAAGCTATTTCTCTACAATAGGGCAGAGGGACTGGACTTTGTATTAAAGCAAGGGATGTTTACAGCCAAGGGGCAGAGGGCAGGGGGAAGGGGTATGGGTGGCTGCCAGTGGCAAGCAGGAATGAAGATTTCTCTAAAGAGCTTTTGCCCTAACTCTGGCCATCAGACTACTGAAACAGTGAACCCCAAGAAACTGGAAGTTCCCCCTCCCCCACCCCACCCTAAATCTCAGACTGAGAGAAGGAACAAGCCAGCCAGAGGGGAGCCTGTCTCACGGGAAGAGATTTCACAGGGTTCTGCGGACCTCAGGCTGCCTTCCAGGAGACTGCGGCTGACACCCTGCACAGGCTGTGATGGCCGGGGTCACACCTTGACCAGAGCGGTCCTGCTAATGGGACAGTACCCAGAACTCATGTTCACGAAATATACAAGATTGAGGATCTTGTGGAGGGTAACTGAGGCCAGGCAACGTATGGCAGAGTTGGAGGCCCCGTAATGATGCCCTGAGAGGCCGTTCTGTGAAGCGTGGGGAAAGCAGAATGCCTGCAAGCATGCACTGGCGTTTTCTTCTGACTTGGAGTACTCATGATCTTCTGACAATGATGGACATGTCTTCCTCCGCCTGCAAGCATGCACTGGCGTTTTCTTCCGACTTGGAGTACTCATGATCTTCTGACAATGATGGACACATCTTCCTCCGCCTGCAAGCATGCACTGGCGTTTTCTTCCGACTTGGAGTACTCATGATCTTCTGACAATGATGGACATGTCTTCCTCCACCACCAGCTCACTTTGGGGTCCTCTGGTACTCAGTGTCTGTCCTGCAATATTTTCTTGTCATGCACCCAATACCTTTCCTTGCCCAATGCCCAGTCACCCTCTGCCTCTCCTCACTCCCACAAGACCCAGAGGTGATCAGAGTTCCAAGGACACAGTGTGCAGTTAGCTAGTCATCTTGTTTTCCTGGCTTTGGGCTGTTTATTGTGATTGACATGAAAGTCACCCTCTTGCTCACATGTCCCCAGGTGGTGACGCTATTTGGAGGTGGCTAAAGAACCTTTAAGAGATGCAGGCTAGCTGAGAAGGAAGTAAGTCTCCTGGGGGGAGGGGGGAGTTGTACCTGGACCCTCCTGCTCATCTTCTTCCTATGTTTATCAAGTAAAGAATGCCCCCTCTGCCACATGTGCCCACACTAGGTACTCTGCCCAAGAGCGCAGCAGATGGAACCACTGGATGAATGAACCCCCTTCCTCCACCAAGTTGTTCACCTGGGGATGTTTGTCACAGAGAAGAACTAGTACAGCAATGATGTGTGCCACTGGGGACCAGGCGAGATGATGTGTGCCCCTGGGGACTAGGCGAGATGATGTGAGCCCCTGGGGACCAGGCGAGATGATGTGTGCCCCTGGGGACCAGGCGAGATGATGTGTGCCCCTGGGGACTAGGCGAGGTGATGTGTGCCCCTGGGGACCAGGTGAGATGATGTGAGCCCCTGGGGACCAGGCGAGGTGATGTGTGCCACTGGGGACCAGGCGAGATGATGTGAGCCCCTGGGGACTAGGCGAGACTCTGACTTCTCTACAGCAGGGCTTCTCGGAGGCACCCGGAGCTGAGTGTGTGTATCACCCTTCCTATTTCTCTTTGGAAATATATAGGGGAAAATGGCTTAAAACTTAATGGCTGACTTTAAACTGAGTATGACTTTAAATAATTTATCATTTCCAGGCTGGGTGGTGGTGGTGCATGCCTTTATTCCCAGCACTTGGGAGGCTGGTGGATCTCTGTGAGTTCTAGGCCAGCCTGGTCTACAGAGCAAGTTCCAAGACAAGCTCCAAAGCTACAGAAAGAATTAGCTTGTCTCGGGTGTGGGGCAGGGGGATATTTCCAAAATTTTCCCAAGATAGGGCTTGCCTATCACAGCCAAAGGTGAGGGGTTAAACTGAGACCCAGAACCCAGCAAAGGAAAAGACAGAAGGAAGTAACAACTGTTTCCTGTTGACTATTAGATATCTCTTGGGGTCTATAACCTTTCTAATGCTGTGACCCTTTAATATAGTTCCTTATGTTGTGGTGACCCCCCCCCACTATAAAATTACTTTGTTGCTACTTCATAACTGCAATTCATAATGTAAATAAATATCTGCTATTCAGGATATCTGATGTGACCCCTGTGAAAGGGTCATTTGACCCCTCAAAGGGCTGCAACACACTGGCTTAGACAGTCATGTCCATGCAGTACACACCAGCGGCAAGAGGTCATGTTTGCAACCCAGGAAAGATGTGTGACAACGACTCTGTACAATGAGGAGTAAATGTCACAGATGAAGCAGGCAGAAGCTCACACGTCTCAGAGACAGAGAAACCACACCGTTTTACGTGGGCAGACTCACTTACATGTTACTTTACTTGTTATAGCAAGCTAGTTCTTTTTTATTATGAAAAATAGATATGAACATTGAAAAAATGTGTTCATGGTTTCTCCTGCTCATTCCTACTTCCAAAGAGTCTATTCTTTTAAATTCTATTTTCTTGTGGAATTAAGAGAAACTGACAATTAGAGATAAATTTTATGTCTTAATAGAATCAGAATGAAATATAAAGGCACAATCTATGAAGAAAATAACTCCAGGATCTATGAAATCATTTCTATATTTAAGCAGAACCCCGGCTCTATAACAGTAAGGCAAAAACAGTCACAAATCAAGCTCAGCAGGGCTCAACAGCCAGGTCACAAACAGATGTCTGTAAGCATGTAGCTCACAGACATTCAGGGCATGAGGGCTCATTGTCCCACTGCTCTCGGACAACAGAGCTACAGGAAGTATAAACCTTTAAGAGAATGTGGCAGCTTTTAAGCTGACTCTAAACTTCCTTTACTCAGCAATGTTAGAGGCAGTCATTAGAAAAGGGCAATAGTGGGAATGACATTCAGAATAATTGTACGCACAATTTCATCTTTTTAAAAAACACCATTATCTAAAATTTATACACCCTCACATTCCCAAAGAGCCTCTGGTACTTTCTTGAATTAACTCAGGTTGTACGAAGCTCTGGAGGAAAAACGGAGGTTCGTTTCCAGGAAGACGGTCATGGCTGGCAGTAAGGACTCGCAGAAGTATCTCCTAGGACCTGGAAACTGAATAAATAATAAGATCTCTATTATTTTGTTACTATTTTATTATTTTGACTATTGGTCATCCATAACGCAAACTTGAACAAAACAGTCGCTTCCTGAGGTCAAAGTACAGGGAATGTAAACATGACATCAGAGAAAACAGCCAGAGAATAGATTCCCGTCAGAATCCTAAGAAAGGGTCTTTCTTACCTGATGCTGTTAGCTGTGGCCACACTGCCCTACAAAGGCTCACATGACTCCTAAAAGGTGGGACCTCGTGAGGGTTCATTAGGTCACCTAGTCTGTGCCTCAGAGAGGGATTAAGACAGATCTTGTGGAGCCCGCTGTGCTGGCTCGTTTATGTTGGTTTGACACAGGCTAGAGTCATTTGGGAGGAGGGAACCTCAGCTGAGAAGCTGCTGCCAAGAGACTGGCCTATGGGCAAGTCTGGTGCCTTGTCTTGATTAACAGCCAATGTCTGAGGGCCCAGCCCATTGTGAGCGGTACCCTCTGCTGAGGTGACGGTCCAGGGTTGTATAAGAAAGCAGACTGAGCTGGGCAGTGGTGGCACATGCGTTAGAGGGCATCCTGGTCTACAAAGTGAGTTCCAAGACAGCCTGGACTGCTACAGATAAACTCTAGAAAAAAAAAAAGAAAGAAGGAAAAGAAAAGAAAAGGAAGAAAAAAGGCTGAATAAGCCATGAGGATCAAGTCAGTGTTCCTCCATGGCCTCTTCCTCAGTTCCTGCCCTGCCTTCCTTCAGTGATGGACTGTTTGTTACCTCTAAGTGCAAGCAAAATAAATCCTTTCCTCCCTAAGTTTTTTTTTTTTTGATCACGGTATTTATCACAGCAATAGAGACCCTACTAAGATACTCAGTATGGTGATCTGAGTAACTGGCCCCAGAGGCTCACATGCTTGAGCGCTTAGTCAGCAGGCAGAGGCATTGTTTAAAAGGGTCAGCAAGGTTAAAAGGTGTGGCCTTGTTGGGGGAAGGATCAGTGGGGGTGGCCTTGGGGTCTCAAAAGCCCACACCAGGTCCTTCCTCTGCTGTGGACCAGGATGTGGCTCTCAGCCGCTTTCCTAGCACAGTGCTCGCCACCGTGCTCACTGCCATGATGATAATGAACCAAGCCTCTGAATCTCTAGGCAAGCTCCAAACTAAATGCTTTCTTTATAAGAGTTGCCTTGGCCATGGTGTCTCTTTGAGACCCTGTTAGTTCCCTTAAGAGATATTTGTTTTGCCAGGCAGCAGTGACGCACACCTTTAATCCTAGCACTTGGGAGGCAGAGGCAGGCGGATCTCGAGGCCAGCCTGGTCTACAGAGCTAGTGCTAGGACAGACAGACAGACAGACAGACACAAAGAAAGAGAGATATTTGTTTTAAAAGAGCAAGTTTGGCCCCCTGTCTTCCAGTCTTACCATGAGAGCTCTCTGTACCATGATACGGTCAACCACACTGTGAAACATTCAAGGGAGCCTTACCGGAGACCAAACTGAAGGGTCCACCTAATCTTGGTCTGCCAGCTTTGGGAACCAGTGGGCTAACCAAACCTCTCCTGCGTATTTTGTTGGAGCACTAGGAAACGGCGTGTAAAGTACAAAAGAAAAACAACTCCTTCACAAACAATTGTCAGGATGCTAATTCTACTTTTACAAACCTAAGTTATTGAAAATCTTCTAGTTTTGAAATGCTCTGGCCTACAGAGAGATTCACTGTGTTGCTGTTTGTAACATAGTTGGGTATAGTACAAGCAGCAAGTACTGTAAAAACGTTTAAGGAGTATCATTCATTTCAACAGTATATTATTAAGTCATCAACAGTAAATTTGCATACAGGTGGGCTACAAAATACATGTGTCACAGCTACAGAAACAAACAAAACTTCTATCTGCAGCAAATGTAGAAGCAGGTGATTTCCATCTTTCGAATTCTCTGGTCTTTCCTGATCTTGCCAGGGTGAACATGCATCGCCACTAGAACGGAACACAAACCTGTGTGTTTAAATTTTAAGTAAGCCACACACAGTAGCGCATTCCAGTCACCTCAGCACTCAGGAGGCTGAGGCAGGGGTGAGGCCAGCCTGGGCTACACAAAAACCCTGTGCACAGCCCCCATCCCTCAATTTTTAGGTAAATAAATAACAGAACTAGCTTTGGTGCCTGTCCCTCCAACGTGAGCCTTCCAGCTTCCATCCCGCGGGGCCCTGGACCATGCCCTGATCCTCCTGGCCTTACTCAGCAAGGTCAGGCTGAGCTCTGCTCTCAGACTTTGCCCCATCATCCCACTGGAAAAGCTGTTCTTTTCCTGAGCCCCTGAACACAATCTGGTGCCTGGGCACTGAGTTACTTCTTCACACATAATATACAACAGGACGCTGGGTGAGGACCGGGCCTCTTGGCTGTGTCTTCTCAGCTCCACGATGCTATGTCAGTGGGCCTGTAGGAGTCTTGACTGCTTATCTATTAAGTGTCTACTGTCATTTCCTCACGGGCCCTAGCAGGGAGATGAGAGGCTCTTAGGGCCTTTAAAAGTCAAGGTCTTGGGGGCTGGAGAGATGGCTCAAAGATTAAGAGCACTGACTGCCCTTTGAGAGGTCCTGAGTTCAATTCCCAGCAACCACATGGTGACTCAAAACCATCTGTAATGAGGTCTGGTGCCCTCTTCTGGCCTGCGGGGATACATGCAGGCAGAACAACATATACATAATAAATAAATCTTTAAAAAAAAAAAGAAAAAAATTAAAAACAAAAAAAACCCTCAAGGCCTCCTGGAAAGCTGAGCGAACAAGAACTACAGTGAACTACAGGAACTAAAGGAACTACAGTGAACAGGCCAAGTGAACTACAGAAGGGTGCTATGGCTGTCCACTGCATAGGTCTGTCATCAAGGCACTGGAGGACTTCTAACTGTAAATATCGCTCAGATGTCATTGGGCTCAGTCACCCAGAGCTGGACCAGCAGGACAAGGTCAATCAGATCTGCCATTTCCTTTCTAGTACCTTCTATATTTCACCAACTCCAAGGCAGAGCAATTATAAGATACATCAATTTTGAATCACAAGGATTTTTTTAACTGTTTTTTCACTATTTTTTTTGAAACATGGTCTTAATATGTAGTACTGGCTGTACCATAACTCACTATATAGACCCCAAACTAGCCTCAAACTCACAGAGACCCACCTGTCTCTGCCTCCCAAGTGCTAGGATTAAAGGCATAAGCGATCACATCTGGCTATTTTTCAATGTTTTATACTGCATTTATTGATGGGGATGTAGCATACATGTGGAGGTCAGAGGGCAGCTTGGATGAACCAGCTCTACCCCTCCACCATGGGGATCTACAGAGCCGAACTAAGGACAGCAGACTTGACGGCAAGCACGTTTTCTCACTGGGCCACCTCGCAAACTCTCACGTGCATTTTTACAAAATGCACGGGGTCAGACATAGTGGCCTTCAGTCCCAGCACTCAGGAGGCATAGGTTGATCTCTGAGGTTGAGGCCAGCCTGGTCTACAGAGTGAGCTCCAGGACTGCCAGGACTACATGGAGACCCTGTCTCAGAAAACAATACAGTATGGTTAGAAGTATGGTTACACACCTCATCACGACAGGTGGCTGTAACAGGATAAAGTTTTCTCCACGCTATCTCAACCATCTTTGATTTCTACCCTCTGCCCTGAAAAGTCCTGTAGAAAAACACCCTACCTCGTTCCAGAAACTCAGGGTCACAATGACCAAGCTCATTGCATATTCTTGGCTCCTGTTAGATTTCTTGCTTGCTTCCCCCTGCAACTGCCAACCAGGACGTAGTTTATCTATGTTCTTTGTCTCTGAAATCTAGTAAACATGCATGCAGGCCGCTCCGTGAGAAGTCTTTCTCCTAGGCAGTCGCAGGCTGGCTTAATTGAGACTCTCAAGTCTATCTTTGGTAGTGCCACATGGTCTATGGGTTTTCATCCCATACAGTAGTCAAAAGATGTTATTTCCTTTTACACACACACACACACATCTATATATATATACCACCCTTAAAGCTGTGCCACATGGTAGCTCAGAACCGTCTGTAATTCCAGCTCCATGGCATGCAGTACCCTCATGTGGTCTCTGAAGGTACTACATGCAGTATACATTCAGACATGCAGGCAAAAAAAAAATACACATAAGATAAAAACAATAAGTCAGAAAGGAAGGAAGGAAGGAAGGAAGGAAGGAAGGAAGGAAGGAAAAGAACAATGCTTCGGGAAGGTTTAATAATAGGTTTTGCAAAGGGAGCTGTTTAGAACCTTCAAGGGAAGGTCTTCCAATAACTTCTCATTCCTGTCTATAACTGAGGGTTCAGCTTGTGTCTATAGGATTCAGGACTCAAGCTGACCTGATGCAATCAGTGTCAGAATATTATTTTCTATCTTAGTGTCATGATCAATTATCTTGGCATGCTGATTTTCTTCTTTAAGTCATATTTAAGAGATGTTTGGTGAAGCACCGGCTTTCAATACCCTCCCCCCTTCTCAGCCAAAAACAAAAATAAAAAAAAAATCATGCATCTAACCCTAGAGGATCATCTGCCTTCATTTCTTATTCCCTTTCTGCTGTCAATGATGTTTTGTTTTTTTCAAGACAGGGTTTCTCTGTGTACCCGACTGCCTTTGTAAACCAGGCTGGCCTGGAACTCAAGAGATCTGCCTGCCTCTGCCTCCAGAATGCTGCGATTAAAGGCGTGTGCCACCACTCCTGGTTCCTTATTCCTTTAATGATGCTCCCCAAAGGAACCAGGGGCACTCCTGCCAGTCTGGCAGGGCAGCCCCATTGGTATTTTGTGACCAAATGGGAAGCAGGAATGGGGAAGGCTGGGTAGAAGAAGCATACTGATTACTGAATGAATGGAGGGAGAAAGGGTAGCATTTTCATGATTCCCGAACTGCTCATTCTCCCAAGAATTAAAACAGCATAGGATTTTTTTAAAGCATCTGAATGAGCTGGTTCAATGGTTAAGAGCACTTGCTGCTCTTCTAGAGGACAGAGAGAGGTTCGATTCCCAGCATTCATGTGGCAGCTCACTATCTTCTGTAACACCTGAGTTCCTGCTTCTGGCTTCCTCGGGTACCACATGCATGGGGCACAGACATACATGCAGGCAAAACATCCATACCAGAAAATAATAAAATATTCAAAACATGTATTTTATTTTTCAAGACAAGGTTTCTCTGTGTAGCCTTGGCTGTCCTATAACTCCCTCTGTAGACCAGGCCGACCCCGAACTCAGAGATCCACCTGCCTCTCCCTCCCAAGTTGGCGGGATTAAAGGTATAAGCCACCTCCAACCAGCAAAATACTTTAAAAATTTTTAAAGCATCAGACGATAAGAAAATATGGTTATGCCCTGTCAAAACACAGAATTCTATAAGCAAAATGAAACTTACCTTGTCACCCCACTGGATCCACTAATCCACCATCCGATACACAGGGTCACCAACTCTCAGGCTTCCAATTCTTTCCACTGAGAAATACATCCCAAACAGTGGGGACGTCTGGTACAGACTCTTCACAGAAGGGTCACACAGGCGGTAGCTGAAAGAAGAAAGTACCACCATCAGGCCTCGAAAGAAACGGGAGTCTAGTGTTTTCTATAGAACATGGATGCTTGCTCCTTAGGCTAATTATGGGTCAACAACACGTCCTTTCTAAAGATGACAGGGACGCCTGCACACAAGCAGCCAAATAAGTGTGGGCTTTCTAAAGCCAGGTGTGATGGAGCACAACTCTGATCGCAGCCCTAGGGAGGTAGAGGCAGGCAGAGCACTCAGTTCGAGGCCAGCCTGGTCTACAAGGTGAGTTCTAGGACAGCCAGGATTATAGAAAGCCTGTCTCTAATAATAATAATAATTATTATTATTACTACAGTGTTAATAATAGTAAGTGTGGGCTTATGAAGTATCGTACAAACACTTTTATTACACAGGTACCCTAACTCACAACTTATGGAGAAAAAATGCTCATGAAATTTCAAAATGGAACCACCCCTGGCCCACTGTATTGACTGGCTTTTGTTGTCAGTGACACAACCTAGAATCACCTAAGAGTCTCAGTGAGAGATTGTCTACACTGGGTTGGTCTGTGGGCATGTCTTAATTAAGTTACCCAGCCCACCATGGGCAGCACCATTCCCTAAGCAGGGTCTCATGAATTGCCTAACAGTGGAGAAGTCGGCCTGAGCACAGGCAAGCGAGCATGTCTGCATTCGTTTCTCTGACTATGAATGGGATGTGACTGTTCTGAGCTCCTGCCTTAACTTCCCCACCATGATGCACTGTAACCTGGAACTGTGATCTAAAATACACCTCTTTCTCCCTTATGCTGCTTTTGTCTGCACTGCTTTTACTCCTTATGCTTTCGACTTCTCCCAACATTAAGGCTCAATACTGGAGTTCCCCTGTAAGTGAAAATTAAGGCTGAGATGCCACTAGTCAATGGGACTGCTTATGAAGTCTAAGACCTAGCTGAAGAAAATCACCTTCACTGTGTTTTACAAAGCAAAGAACAAAAATAGAACTGTGAAATGAAGGCCTCATGAGATACCCTCTGAACTGTTAGAGACAGACAATAGAACAGAGGAAGCGCAAACACAACAACACAGCCATCCCCAAAATGGTAACTAAGGTCTTTTTGGTCCTTTTTTGCAATGTTTAAGGTGGAACCCGCACCCCATGAATTACCAGACATTGATGAGAGGGGCTGGGTGATGAGAGGGGCTGGGTGATGAGAGGGGCTGGGTGATGAGAGGGGCTGGGTGATGCCTCGGTTAGTAAGACACCTGCTGTGCAAGGAACAAGGACCTGGGTTCAGATCTTCAGCAGCCAGAAAAAGCTCAGTGCCATCTGCCTAGAACCCCGGCACTGGGGAGCCAGAGGCAGGCGGTGCCTGAGCTCACTGGCCAGTTCCAGGCCAGTGAGAGCCCTTGTCTCAAATATAAAGTCCATCCTGGGTTGGCTTAGACATGGCAGCTTATGTGCCTCTGCCTCTTTGCTGCTGCCCCTGTTTCCAAGTTGGCACTGGCCCAGCTAATCAGCATCACTTTGTGCCTCTGTAGGACGAGGCCCACACAGCCAGTCTCTAACGTGTACAGGTGCCATTGAGGGTCACACAATTTTACTCCCAGTAGAGGGACACACTTCTTTGACATCAGAGGGAATCAGGGACCGAGTTCCATGTCTTGGAATGTCACAACTAGCCCAGGAGACTCTCAATCACTTAGCATTTTCTACAGACCTGGACTCAGACAGTCTGGGCCTACTGTAGCCATGGAAATTCCAGACTTCAGAGAGAAGTTAATGTGTCCATAAGGAATTGCGCATGACACTTCAGTAAGAAGGCTGCACAGGAATAGAGTGTGGGAGACCTTTCCTTATCCACTGAGGGGACGCAGAGAACCCTGGCTGGAGTGTCGAGGAGTTTTACCCTTTGAGAATAAATCTAGGGGCTGGAGAGATGCCTCAGCAGTTAAGGGCACTGACTGCTCTCCCGGAGGACCCAGGGTCAATTCTGAGCACCCATGTGGCAGCTCACAACTGTCTGTGACTCCAGCTCCTGGGGATCCAACACCCTCAGACAGACACATACACAAGCTGAACATCAAAGCACATAAAGTAAAATAAATAAATAAATAAAAATAATTTTTTTTAAAAAAGAAATCTACTGTGAAACAAACACAAATGGGTAAAAAGTGACTAAGGAAGTCATCCAGTATCAGCCTCTGGCCTCCACACATACATGCACACACATACACACACACACACACACACACACACACACAAAGAAAGTGATGAGATTAGAGTTTCAAAATAGAAAAATGTACAACTATATATGTATCAGAAAAGTAAAGAAATAAAAAGAGGATGAAACTTAGGTGCATTTTAGAACTGGCACAAACCACAGAGCACCTGGGAGTCAGGACACGAGCACTTGGGAGTGAGGACACGACCACCTGGGAGTTAGGACACGAGCAGCTGGGAGTTAGGACACGAGCAGCTGGGAGTCAGGACACGACCACCTGGGAGTCAGGACACGACCACCTGGGAGTGAGGACATGAGCAGCTGGGAGTCAGGACATGAGCAGCTGGGAGTTAGGACATGAGCACCTGGGAGTTAGGACACGAGCAGCTGGGAGTTAGGACACGACCACCTGGGAGTGAGGACACGACCACCTGGGAGTTAGGACATGAGCACCTGGGAGTGAGGACACGAACACCTGGGAGTGAGGACACGAGCAGCTGGGAGTTAGGACATGAGCACCTGGGAGTTAGAACATGAGCACCTGGGAGTTAGGACGTGAACACCTGGCACACAACACAGGGCACACACTGGCGTCCTACCTCTTCAGGGTTTCTAGCGGCTCCTTCCTGTCTATGATTCCTGTGTCTGGGTCCACTGTCGTCAAGATGCACCTGCCGAAGACCCACGATTAGACGGTGGATCCAAACCAAAGTGCGTCCCACACTCCAGAGGCTATGTCTAACTCAGTCTTTACCTGGGGCAGCTCAGCACCTTTTTCATCTCGACATCACCAATTAGGAGCTCATCCCAAGTGTCCTAGAAGAAAAGGGAGAGGTGTCTTTTAGAGCCAGGCTTCCTTCGCCTTGATCTGGGACTAGGTATGACATCAGAGGAAGGAGGGAGACACAGAAGGACACAGAGAACTCTGGAAAGTACCAAGAGAGGCAGCATGCAGTCAAGCTCAGGATACACAATTCACTTTTTAAAAAAAAGTAATTCTTTTAGCACTGAGCACAGAACCCAACGCCCGTGCACAGGAGTCCAGCACTCGACTGCTGCGCTGCCTCCCAGCCCCAGCATCCTCCTTTTGATTCACAATCTCAACCACTGATTCTGCCAAATCACAGCCTACAAAATGGGAAAAGATCTTCACCAACCCCACATCAGACAGAGGACTGATCTCCAAAATATATAAAGAACTCAAGAAACTGGTTATCAAGAGAACAAATAATACAGTTTAAAAATGGGGTACAGACTTAAACAGAGAACTCTCACAGAGGAATCTAAAATGGCTGAAAGACACTTAAGGAGATGTTCAACATCCTTAGTCATCAGACAAACGCAAATCAAAACAACTCTGAGATTCCATCTTACACCTGTAAGAATGGCCAAATCAAAAACACTGATGACAACTTATGCTGGAGAGGTTGTGGGAAAAAGAGAACATTCCTTCATTGTTGGTGGGAATGTAAACTGGTACAGTCCCTTTGGATATCAGTATGGTAATTTCTCAGAAAATTAGGAAACAACCTTTCTCAAGACCCAGTAATACCACTTTTGGGTATATATCCATAGGATGCTCAATCATGCCACAAGGTCATGTGCTCAACTATGTTCATAGCAGCACTGTTTGTCATAGCCAGAACCTGGAAACAACCTAAATGCCCCTCGACCAAAGAATGGATAAGGAAAATGTGGTACATTTACACAATGGAGTACTACACAGCAGAAAAAATAATGACATCTTGAAATTTGCAGGCAAATGGATGGATATAGAAAATATCATACTGAGTGAGGTAACCCAGACCCAGAAAGATAAACATCATATATACTCACTCATAAGTGGTTTTTTAAACATAAAGCAAAGAAAAACAGCCTATAGTTCACAACCCCAGAGAACCCAGACAATCATGAGAACCCTAAGAGCAATGTACATGGATGTAATCTACATAGGAAGTAGAAAAAGACAAGAATTCCTGAGTAAATTGGAAGCATGGGGACCATGGTAGAGGGTAGAAGGGGAGGGGAGAGGAAGGTAGGGGAGCAGATAAAAATGAATAGCTCAATAAAACCAATAAAAAAGTTTAAAAAAAGAAAAAGAAAACTGAAAGCTGGTGAAGATGTAATTGAAGGAGGGGCCGTGACCCAGCCCCAGAAAGCAGCAGAACTTGGCAGCTTTGACCACGTGGTTCTGCCTTAGAAGGAGTTTGGAATAGACCTCTGTGACTAGGGAAAGCTTCCAGGCCAGGGATGTGTCGGGGAGTCCCTGAAAGGAGGCCTAGAGAGGTCACTGGGTGAAACTGTGAAGGTGAAGCCTGGATTGCCTTGGAGATGTTGGCCATTCCAGAGCTGTGGGTTACCTGATGAAGAAAGTCGCTAATGGAGTGGAGGCAGCTGGGGGGGAAGGGAGGGAGGAGGGAGGGAGGGAGGGAGGAGGGAGGGAGGGAGGGAGGGAGGGAGGGGTGTCGCAGTCAACAAAACTGAAAGGAGTTAAGAGATCTGAGTAGCATTTTGACATCGGACATGGAGATGCAGCATTTGGAGTTGGTCCAGCTGGATTCTGGTCGTACTTTGGTTCAGTATTTTCTCACTATGCTCCCTTCCCTACGGTTTGGAAAGGTAACGTATATCCAGGTTGGAAGTATGTGACCTGCTTTTGATTTCGATTTTACATAAGATTACAGTTAAGACATTGCATGAATCTCAGGAGAAACTTTCAGTGTTGGAATTGTAAACATTGTGGGAACTTTAACAGACTATAGGAACTTTTCTGAAGCTGGACTAAATGCTTTTGCATTATGATATTGTTACAAGCTTTTCGGTGCCAGGGAGTGGAATGTGGTGGATTCTATGTAATTGGCCACCATAAGCTCACAGGGAGTGGCACTGTTAGGAAGTGTGACTTGGTTGGAGTAGGTATGGCCTTGTTGGAGGAAGTGTGTCACTGTGGGGGCAGGCTTTGAGGTCTCTCTGTTCAAGCTACACCTACTACTGTTGCCTTTGGATCAAGATGTCGAATTCTCTTGTGGCCTCCACATGTATTACACACACATGGTACATATACACTTATACATACACAAAAAAAGTAAAAGTAACTTTTTAAAAAGGAAGCACTTCACAGACACAGACACAAAACAAACACACATACACGAGCACTTACATAAAACATGCTGTGTCCTAACACTGCTTATGCTTTACAGACACAGGGTCACTTGCACACATTTCGGTGTCCTTTAGTGTCCAAAAGGGGATTGTTTCCAGCACCCCTTTAGAACCCCAAATCCGCAAGTGCTTATCTCTTGTATAAAATGGCCTGGTACTGTCTCTTAACCTATGCACACATTCCTACTTTAAATCATCTCTAGCTCACTTAACGATACCCAATGATAAAATGATAAGAACAAGTAATAGGTACATTGTTTCACACAGGTAACAATAATCAAAAGTGTACAGTTCGGCACAATGTTTCCCTCAATATTTAAAACATTCTTTAAAAAAAAAAAAAGATTTAGGGGCTGGTGAGATGGCTCAGTGGTTAAGAGCACTGACTGCTTCTCCAGTGGACCCGGGTTCAATTCCCAGCCCCCACATAGCAGCAGTGGATCCGGGTTCAATTCCCAGCCCCCACATAGCAGCAGTGGACCCGGGTTCAATTCCCAGCCCCCACATGGCAGCTCGCAGCAGCTGTCTGTAACTCCAGTGTGCATGAAATAAAGTTTTCTTTTTTAAAAAAAAGATTTAGCTCCAAGGCTACAAAGAAACCCTGTCTTGAAAAATAAAAAAAAAAGATTTGTTTATAAGTATATGTGTGATATGTACATGTAGGTGTTGGGTGTATGTACATGTAGGTGTTGGGTGTATGTACATGTAGGTGTTGGGTGTATGTACATGTAGGTGTTGGGTGTATGTACATGTAGGTGTTGGGTGTATGTACATGTAGGTGTTGGGTGTATGTACATGTAGGTGTTGAGTGTATGTACATGTAGGTGTTGGGTGTATGTACATGTAGGTGTTGAGTGTATGTACATGTAGGTGTTGAGTGTATGTACATGTAGATGTTGGGTGTATGTACATGTAGGTGTTGAGTGTATGTACATGTAGGTGTTGGGTGTATGTACATGTAGGTGTTGGGTGTATGTACATGTAGGTGTTGAGTGTATGTACATGTAGGTGTGGTGGGCGTGCCTGTACCTGTTTGTATGCAGAGGCCAGGAGAGGGCTTTGAGTCCCTCAGAGCAGGAGTTCCTGGCGTGTGAGATGCCTGGCTGCTTATGATTGCACAACAAACATTTAACCACCAAGCCCTCTCTCCAGACACTAAATTACGTTTTATCTGCAGTAAAACATAACTTATATTGGTATAATCTGTGAAGGGCGGCTATATGCATACACCCAACATATACGGATTATGTGGCTCACATCTTATAGGAGGCAAAAGATCTCCTATCCTCTTGGAACTTTTAAGCTAAGTCTGATAGTTGAAATGAAACAGAAATAAAGAGAAAAGCGTGTGTGTGTGTGTGTGTATAATGCAATGTAAACTTCATATGGCCCATGCCTTCATAATAGAGAGTGGGCTTAAAGACACAGCTGGGGTTGAATAGCTACACTCTGCATGGGACAAAGAGCAGCAGGTGGTGAGAGAGTGACAGGATAGAGGACACATGCCTAAGTCCAGAAAGATCAGCTTCCAGCGGTGTGTCTGTGCAGACCCCACAGTCCCGGTCTCTGGTAAGGACACACTAGCCTGAGCTACATGAGAAACAGACTCAAGTGTCAGCATGATCCCCTGCATTTGCCTTTTCAAACATCTTCAGCTCAAAATAATCAATATGCCAGAGGATCGTGTTTGGGGGTAGCACATTTACAGGACCTTGAATACGACACCTACACCTACATACTTAATATCACACATTCACAAGCTCATATAGATCGGCATAAAGGTTATGGTCCTTTTTACTAATAACAAGTAATTTTGGAACTTAGCAAGATGCCCCATGCCTGTAATCCCAGCCCTTGGGAGACAGCAGCTCAAGAATCAGGAATTCCATGACTCAAGTCACCCATGGATACACAGTGGGCAGAAGGCCAGCCCAGGCTACATGAGGCCCTGTCTCAGAAAGAGCACAGTCTGGGTTCCTTATCTTGAGGGTTTGTGCCTGTTCTGCAGAGAGCCACTAATGCTAAGCTTAAAAGGGAGAAACAGGGAGTGTTTGAGGATGGGGGCCTTAATACACGCCCCATAAACCTACAACAGCTTTGAGAACACCAGATCTACACGCAGATGCAAAGAATGCTCTTGGAAACTGACCTCAATCAGGAGAGGTTTCTAGAGCTCCTAAGTCTAACTGATGTGCAGAGAAGTCAGGAAAAGAGTCCACCCCTGCTTAGCTGGTGGCTTTCACCCTCTCGGGGTCTGAGAGGGACCTAAGTTTCTACAGAGGGCACAGCAAGGAAGTCTCCCCTTCTGCGACTGGCTATGACATCATAATCATCCCGTATTCGAAAGCCAACTAGCTCCTCTCTTGGGCCTATAGAAATGAGTAAGCATTGCACAGTTGGTGTTCCAGAGCCAAATGAGTCTTCAAACCCAGACATCCCCCACCCAGTATGACCACAGCTACAGATGCCCAGTCATCCTCCAGGAAACTGCTTCTGGAGGAAATAAACTCCATGTTCCAAGCAATCAGTTGGCCCAGGAGCCGTGCAAGCTTTATAAAAGCCGAGGTCACACTCACCATGTGACAAACCCTGTTCAAACAGGGCAATTGCAAGGGAAGCATGTGGCAAACTCCCCCGCTGGAGGGCAGTGCCTG